TCCCAACTCAGAGCTTATGACAGGGAGGTACAAAGTTCCTTCCCGCCTTCCCTCGTCAGCAAGCCTTTCAACAGCAAGCCTTTCAATGGCCTGCTGTGAGTCTGGGCTCCTAGGTCTTGCTGGGAGCCCCAGGACAGCAAGCAGGACCCACAGGTGGGAGGTGCAGGCAATACCAACAGTTAGCCCCGACGGGCTGCCGTGGCCATGCACTCATGGATATATTCACTTGACGTGACTCCCCGTGATGTGGGAGTTTTCATCCCCCTTCATTCTTGAGGAAACTGAGGCCCCAGGAAGTATAAGCTGTGGGAGCTCAGGCAGCAGGGTTGACAGGCACCCTTCCTGCAGGAGATGGCCTGAGAGGACACTCGCAAGGCAGAGGGCACTTGGAGAGGCAGGGAGAAGGAGAGTGCAGGTAGGTGGGCCAGCCTGAGGTTGGGAGGGGAGACCTCGCTGCAGATGCTTGCAGGCCAAGGTGAGTATTCTCCTCTTCTGCAGCCCACCTGCTGCATTAGAGTCCCCAGGGTGGCCTGGCACTGTGAGTCTCCAACAAGCTCCCAGGTGACCAGGAAGCGGCTGGCTCAGCCTGGAATGCCAGAGCCGGGCTGTTAGCCCTGATTGAAGCCGTTTCTCAGGCCTCTCCTGGCTCTGAGGCCGGAAACAATAATAGTGACATTTATTGAGTACTTTTTACTATTGAGTACAGCTAATGTTTACTGACAACTTTCCTGCACAGCAGGTACTATACTAAGCACTTTGCATATATGGACCTATTTAACCCCCAGAAAACTGGGGCACAGAGAGGTTAAGTGAGTTGCCTAAGGTCATGCAGAGTCAACATTCAACCCAGGATGCCTGGTTCCAGAAGCCATACTCACTTCCCTGCAAAGTGGGTATTCCTGGAGCAGGGAAGGCACTAGGCCTGGGGTTCGGGCTGGACCGGGGCACGGACAGGGGAGCTCCACCCTACTGAGAGCTAAATGCCAGACCTCTCCCACAGGGATGGAGTTTTGACAGGAGAAGGCAAAAGAGGGCAATGACGAGGGTGGGTGACCATGCACCAGGGGTGCAGCACAAAAGGTGGAAGCTCAGGTGTGGGGAAGGGAGCCCGCAGCCACTTCCTTTGCCACCTCTCTCTGTGTCCGCAGCGGGGCCTCGTACAGATGGGTGCACAGCTCCTGGGCCTGAGACCTAAGAGCAGCCAGCCTGGTGTCCACAGGTCTGTGTGCACAAGTGTGTGTGTGTGTATCCGTATAGAAGGGGAAAGGAGGAACCTTAGCATGTGCTTGTTTATAGGGGAGACTATCTGTCACCCACCCACCTGCTGCGGTAGCCGCAGAGAACAGGACGCTCTGACTCTAATCTACACTTTTAGGGCCTGGAAACCACAGCCACGTCAGCGGCGGGCGTGTGCACAGGAGCTGGGTGGGAGGTGGGGCCACAAAGGCAGGGAGTGCAGGTGTGCGCCAACAACAGGCACATGTGGGCAGCGTGGAGGTGTGGTTTCCTCCCCAGCCACCTCCGGGGAGCAGGGCAGACGGGACAGAAAGGAGCTAGACCTGCCCCAGGGCCGTGGGGCACAGGGTCCAGCCCCTCTGGCCCCAGGTCCAGAGGTCCCACAACCGCCCCCCTCCCACCTCTAGGAGAAGCAGCCATTTCTCCCGCAGGCTCTCTCTCCTTTCAGCAACAGTCCCAACGAACAACCAAAACAAATGCCTATGGAGCATTTAAATGGCCCCACACAGTTCCAGGCACTTGGGAAACATCAATGAACAAAACGAAGATTCCAGCCCTCAAGGGGTCAGCATTCTTACTGGGGAGACACAACAGGCAGAATAAGTAAAGTCTGCGGTATGTAAGTAGGTGATGGTGCTAAGGAAAAGCAGAGCAGACAGAACAAGGCTAGGAGGTGAAGAGTGCTGGGTGGGCAAGAGGGGTGTGTGTGTGTGTGTGTGTGTGTGTGTGTGTGTGTGTGCGCACAAGTCACACTACGCTTTAAATTTGGTGATTCAGGTAGGTCCCACTGAAAAGGTGAAATTCGACAAACTCTTAGGGAAGAGCCAAGCAAGGTCTGAGGGAGAAAGTTCTAGACAGAACACAGATAGGACAAAGGCCCTGAGACAGGAGCATGCCCGGCCAGGGCTGAGGGAAGGGCAGGTTTGCCTGGGGGATGAAGTGGCCCCATACCTCCTGGCATCTGCTCGCCTTGCTAAAAGCAAGGGCCTGGTTTTCAATGGCTTAAAGAAAAAAGACCCTCGGGTACCTATAGGAGAGGCCAAAGGGCTCTCTGAGGAACCAATGTCATAGGAAGAAGAGGACAGAGAGGGAAATGGGGTTTAGACCAGAGGGAACCTATGGCGACTCTGGAGCATGAGCTCAGGGAGGGAGCCCCAGACCTGGGACCCCCCCCCAAGGGGGACAGTGGGGGAAGGAAGCAAAGGATAGGACCAGGCTGCCCTGAGGCCCACAGGCCTCTCTAAGGGAGGGCACGTCTATGGGGTCCCAGGGCCCCAACAAGCCAGCCTCCAGGAATTCACTGAGAGAGTGTAGTGTGGAATTCCATCTTGCTGCCTGGAGGGTCAGCTGGCCAGCCACAGGGAGGAAGAAAGCCTGTGGGTGCAACCACCTTCTGCTTCACGTCTGTCTGTCTCTGCCTGTAGGAGGCAATCAGACCCTCCTGAGGTCTATGTCTCTCCCCCCATTAAAGCAACCCATGGGGAAGAGGAGGGAGAGGCCGTTGACCTCAGGAGATCTAGCTGATGGTTGACCAGGGGGCAGGCTCACCCTGCCCTGCAGTTTGTGGGAGTTGGCGTTCTAGGAGATAGATTCCCCCTAAACCAGCCACGCCACCAGCAAAGGTCGGGGGGCTAGCCCAGTGTATGTTTCTGACAGACTGGCAGTGGGGAATCAGGAATATGCAAAGGGAGGAGGGGGACTCGACCTGGGCCTTTAAGATGGGAGAATATGTGAATGGGTAAAAAGAACAGAGGACAGCTCTGTACCCTCAAATGTGCACGCACGCACACATCACACACACTCTCATAGACATGGGTTGGTTCCCCTGGGTACCAGAAGTACATAGGTCCCTTGGAAACGGGCCTGGGAGAAGATGGAGAGGTCTCTGCAAGCATCAAGAGGATTGGGAGGTGGTGGTGGGGACAGATGGAGATGGGGTGAAAAATAAGGAGACCCCGAGAAAGACCTTCACAGACACACCCACATGCAGACTATGCACACGCCTCCCCGGTACTAGTCAGCCTCAGCCACAACCCAACAGCCTTCCTGCCCGCCAAGGGACACCACTTAGCTACCATATGACATCATGCACACCACACTGCCTCTCCAACATTGTGTCTTCTCTCTATAAAATGAGAATTTGATAACGCCTACCTTTCATGCCAAATTGATTTACGGTGAGGTGACAGGTACATCCTTTCTGCTCTATCTCCAAAAAACTGTTCAGCCACTTCTCCCACCTCCGCCACGACCACACTGGCCAGGCCACCGTTCCAGTGGCATCCCTGCCTCCTCTCCTGCTCCCCGCTACAGTCTATGGCCCCCCCTGCAGCCACTGTCCCCTCCTCCAAACCTGCAGCATGTTTTCATTTCATCCACAGTGAAGGCGAAGTCCTGACCAGAGCCCCTGGGGCGCTGCCCTCCCCTTCTCTCTCTTTTTGCTTTCAACTCCAGCCACCTGGGCTGCTCAGCATTCCACAGACACCCCAGACCTCCCCTCTCAGAGTCACTGTGCTGGCTGTGCCCTGGGCCTGGAATATCCTCATGGCTCTGTCTTCGGGATTTACTCAGATGACATCCTCAGCGAGGCTTTCCCAGACACACCAGCTAACCTAGCAGCTCCCACCTCACTGCTCTCTGTCCCCCTCCCCTGCTTTTTTCTTCTTCTTAGCATCTTCCACCACCAACAAACTACATATCGCATTTATTTGCCTCATCTTTTTGTCTGTCTCTCTTATGAAAATGTGAACTCCATGAAGGTAGGGACATGTGTCTATTTTAGTCTCCACTATGATTCCAAGCTCCTAGAGTAATCCCCGGTCATAGGACTCAATAAATATTGAATGAATGAATGAAATGAGATCGCAAATAGGTAAGTATTGATAAAGCAAGGTTAAAGAAGAGGGGGAACCAACCCTGAGGGAGCCATTGCCATGTTCCAGGAATTGCAACGACAATATTCCTTGACTCTCTAACAACCCTGGGAAGTAACTAGAATTAGTTCCATTTCACAGATGAGAAGCCTGAGGATCAGACAGATGATAACCTATGGTTGCTGTATATTGTCCTCCAAGACAGCCACCAACCACCCCTCCCATCTCTGTACTGAATGCAGCTCCCCCTGCAAGTCTTGGAGTCTCTTTCCCTCCTCCCACCCTGTGATTCTGGACTGGTCTTGTGACTTGTTTTGACCAGTAGAATGTGGTAAAAGTGATGATGGATTAGTTTTGGAATAGGCCTTAAGAGACCTGGCCTCTTGGCCAGGTACATAATTTTCAGGGTCCAGGGGCCCCTTGTTTGAACAGCAAGAAAAAAAATGTTAGAGGCACTAAACTAGAAAGCTCTAATTCCTTAGTGTCTTTCGAGTCACCATGAGCTTTTTTTTTTTTTAAAGATTTTTATTGGGGAATTGGGGGGATGGGAACAGCGCTGGGGAATTGGGGAAGGGGAACAGACAAGTTGCTGTCGTTTTGTTCTTCAGTCTAGTTGTGGAGGACGTTGCTTCACTGGCCCAAGTTGGCACCATCATTGCGCTCTTCCTGGGCGAGGCAGATCAGTAGCCGGCTTCTGGACGGCCACTCACTGCGGCTGCGGGCCGCTCACGCTGGCTGCTGGCTACACACGGTAGCCCATGGCAACCCACTGCCACAGGGGCTGCAGCCTACGCTGTCGCTGGCAACTCATGGCAGCCCAGCTCCAGGTTGAGCTGTTGTTCAGCATCTTAGCTGTGGAGGGCAGTGTCACTGGCCCTCATATGTGGGATCCGAACCGGGGCCCTCTGGCGTCCCAAGCCAGCTCTTAACCAACGCATCACTCGGCCGGCCCACCATGAGCTTTTTAATCTTCTATTTAATGCTTTCTAAGTAAAGAAAAAAATTAAATATTTTAAATAGCATGAATTTTACTGTTTAGCTTCGTATTATGCAATGCCAGTTTTAAATGCAAATATAAGAACATTTAACTCATATATGGAATCACTAAAATTATGCAATTCATATCTCCTAGCTCATATATACAGGTGTATTTTATTCTTACCAGAATAGTATAAACACTGCACAAAACTAACTCAACCTTTATTTTTCCTCTCGTTTATTATTTCTGTTTTTACTTTTATTAGCATTTATTTGGTACTCAATTTACTTCTGGGCCATAAGTTTTTGTTTCTTTAGCTTCTTCTGGGATATCTTTTTCCTCTGTGCAACCTCCCCTTCTGGTTTAGAAACAATCTGCTCTTTTTCAGTAAGGATGTCAGCGTGGCAGGGAGGACTCACATATGAGTTAATCCGCCCATGAGCTCTGTAAGTTCCGCACTGCACCTTGGGAGCTGTGTTCACCAGGCTGTGCTCAGTGACCAGAGAGTCTACCTCTAAACTCTTAAGTTCAGCATTACTCTCTGCATTTTTACGCATGCGCAAAATTTCAGCACTCTTTTCAGTTCCATGGCCCTGCATTCCAGTTCCATGGTTTGGTCTGGGCACACCTACCAACTCCACCATTGTAACAAAGGAATGGCACACGTTGCTTCTGTAAAGTGACATCCTTCAGATACTTGGTGGCTTTTTGGATATGCATACCCCCTTAATGGCCTGGGCAGTTTCACAAGTGGTTCTTAAAGCAAACACAAAGATTCGAACCTCTTGGGCCAGCCGAGTGGCTCAGTTGGTTAAGAGTTAGCTTAAGAGTGCTAGCTCTGAGCAACAGTGCCGCCGGTTCGATTCCCGCATGGGCCAGTGACGCTGTGCCAGAGCTGAGCTGCCACTAAGCTGCCAACAGGTGGCAGGATGGCTCAGCTGGTGAGAGCACATGCTCCTAACAACAAGACTGCCTGTTCAATGGTGGGCTACGCTTGCCCACAACTAAGACTGAACTTGGCACCTTGAGCTGAGCTGCCACCTGGATTGCTCAGTGGTTAGAACGTGTGCTTTTAACAACAAGATTGTCGATTGGACTCCCACATGGGATGGTGGCTATGCCCACCCACAACTAAGATTATAACACAGCACCTTGAGCTTAGGGGCCACAAACTGCCGACGGGCAGCCAGATAGCGACTGGCGCCCTCCACAACGAAGACTGAAGAACAACAACTTGGCTGGTCCCCCTCCCCAATTCCCCAACACTGTCTCCCTCCCCCAATTTCCCAATTTAAAAAAAAAATTTAACCTCTTGATCTGCATGTCTTTGTGGGGGTTTCTGGGTCAAATGAATAGCAAACCATTCTCAAAACTCACCTCGGGCCACTGAGAGGGAGAGCTTTTCTTCTTGATACACACACATTCTACCAACACACTCTTCCTTTGGCTTGTTGACGGGTAAGGAAGGACTGAAAGAAAGAGGAAATATCTATATAGGAACAGGGAAGCAAGGAACAGTGTGGGCACAGAGAGTGCACATATTTCCTCTGCTTCTGCAAAACACAACACCATGTAGAGAATAAATGAGCTGTCCCTCCAAGCCCTGCTCAAATTTTAGAACCGTGAGCAAATAAATGGCTGCTGTTTTGAGCTACTGTTTTGTGGTAGCTTGTTACACAGCAGTTGCTGACTGATACAACGATTGAGATCACAAGGCTAGCATGCGACCAGGCTATGGCTGAATCCATATTGGTCTACTTCTCAAGTCCACATTCCCCTCTGCCCGACCTGGGCTTCCCTACCAACTTTTCATAGTGTAACGCCTATGTTTCTTTTTGAAGAGTTGGTGAGTTTAGGGTTGAACTGGGGTGGGGGTGGGGGGGTGGGGGCAAAGGTTACTTAAGCACAACAAATCAAAATTATTATTAGAGATTGGAAGAAACGTCATCTGGATTCAATTTGGGGAACAGGGGGTTGGCGGGTGGGTCAGGGCTTAGAACAGGCCCAGCTTCTGTCCAGGCTGAGCCTGGGCCCAGCGGGGTGCTTAGACATCTGTTTTCCATCCCGATTCAGTAAATAAAGCTGCTTTTCTCTGCTGACCCTACAGGACATGGGAGTCACGATTTTAGCTGACCAGGAGTGGACCCCTCTTCTGATAGGAGCCCTCCCGCATGCTTGAGCAAGATGCAGAGTGCAGGGCCTCAGGCGGCTGTGCTCGCTCTCCTCTGAACCACAGAGAAAGGAATTCTCAGGGCCTCCCTTGCTCAAGGAATCAGGATTCCCTCATTTAACCAACGGCTGTTGTCCTTGCTGTCAGCTATTAGCATGTCAAACTAGTACATTGGGTGTTTGTTCTTTTGATCCCATGGCTCTTGCATCAGTAAAAATGTTCTTAGTGGCCAGGAACAGAGAACTTCTATTCAATTGCTTAGACAATAAGAAAAATGTATTATCTTTAGACAATAAGGAAAATGTATTGTCTCACAGAATAAGAAGTCCAGAGGAAGGGTAGCTTAGCAAAGGTTAATCCTACAGCTCAACATCATCATCAAGGACCCATTTCCTTCCCCCCGCCCCCAAGGCAAGCATGTTGCCTTGTCCTTGGCTAGCTTGCCTCATGGTCACAAGATGGCTGCCACCAACCCAGATGTCACATTGTCACACAACAATCTCCATAGCAGCAAAATGAAAAACAAAAACAATAACAAAAAAAACAAACCAAAAAAAATGTTTATTAAAAAAAAAAAAAAAGGAAACATATGTCTCATCCTTGTGTCTCATTTTAAGATCAAGGAAAAGTTTTTCCAGAAGTCCCCCGGAGACCATCCCTTACTGCTTACTGGCCAGAACTGAGCAATAATATCCCATGCCTGAATCTATCCCAAGCAAAAGCAACACTGCCCCACTTTTACTGCCACAGTACAAACCGCGAGCCCAGAAGGACAAACACCTGGAACAAACCCAGGATCAGTGGGTACTAAAGGGCGGGCAGTGAGAGGGAGAAAGGCCATTAGGTAGGCAACCAGCTGTGTGTGCTGCAGCTCATTTGTTTGGGCCTGGCTTTTTCACAGGTTGGGGAAGAGGAAAAGAGAATTGGTACTTACAAAGTGAGCCAGACTTCAGATTCTATTACTCGACTAAATTGCCTCACAAAGGCAAATATACTCCATATACAGGGGGGATACTTTTGCTTAAAGTGCTCAGGGGCAATATATAAAATCTCAGGGACTGAGGCAGAGACGTTGGTCCCTCATCCGAGCGTCTGTTTCGGTTCTGACGAGCATCAATGTTGGCGTTAGACAGACCCAGGTTTAAATTCTGACCCTGTCCCTTTCTGCTTTTCTGCTCTTGTACAAGTTATTTGATCTCTCTGTATCGCCCTTTCTTTACCTGTAAAATGAGGATAACAGTACCCATCCCCAGATTGCTTTATGAACCATAGAAAAGGGTCAAAAAATATTTCGGGCAGAAGGAACCATGTGACCCAGCTTGGATGTCTCCTCCTACGAAGGCCCACCCCCTTTCTTGAGCTCATCTCCCTCCTCTCAGCCCCATCCTCAGACTCCAGGCTCTCCTCTCATATCCCTCCTCCCCCTCACCCACAGCACTCCCTATCTGGGCTACCGCACCTAGCACCTTAGACAGGGTGTCCCATCCACATTCCAGATAAGGAAACTAGATCCCTGTGGCTGCCCACCCCACATCATCATTGCTCACCGAGTCCCAATGTATCCACACTCCAGGCCCCAGCTCCTCTCCATTCCCATGATACTGGCTTCTCTGTATTTATTGGGCAGGGTTCTTGGTTGCTAGCACAGAAAGCTCATGGATTCCCCCCAGCTGGCTGGAGAGCCAGGCTCAGGAACCAGAGACGACGGGACCACAGCCAGAACCCCAGCCTAAATCACACCTCAGGACAACAATGGAACTGGCCCTGAGGCTCCACTGCCCCTGAACACCCTTCCTGCTGCTGCTTCTGTAGCCAGTTCTGTCCCATACATCCCACCTTTGCTACTCTATATCACCTGCTTAAGATTCAGAGTTCCTGGGTGAGAGTCTGATTGGCTGAGCCAGGTCACATGCCTGCACTGCAGCTGCAAAGGAGGCTGGGAGAGGGAGATCTAGCTTCTAGGGTGGGAGGAGGGCTCTGCCTCCCTCTGAGACTCACAAGGTAGGGGATTCCCCAAACAGATACTGGAGAACCATCCATGGAAAGGGTAAAGGTGCACCGTGCTGGGGGAGAAATCATTTGTTTCCCCGAGGGGCAGGGCCTGTGGCTGCCTATCCCATCACCCATTCCTAGCATTAGGAGCAGCTGTGCTCTCAAATAGACTTCAGGAGAGTCTGAGGATCTGACTTGCCTGGAATCAGGGAACACTGGGACTGGGGGTACCACACCTTGGGGATCCCTGCCAAAAAAATTTAAGGACTAATAAAGGATCACCCATTTTTTATTTTGCCAAGTAAGAAAATATCAACAGCAAATAACAAATAAACCACTTTCTACTCTCACCATCGTTTCATAAAAAAAGGGGACACCTTAAACACCAATTCAAATAAAAGGACAAGGGAGAGCATGACTTAGAATTAAGCACAATCCTGAAAGCTTAATACATGTTGGCTTTCAGAAAAACTCTATGTCATCCAAATTTTTCTACTTTGGCTGGAAACCTATGAAAAGGGCATAACACAATTCACTTTGAACATGGACTGTGGACTAGATAATAGCGTTGTATCAACACTAAGTCTCCTGATTTTGTTAACTGCAGGGGTTATGTAAGTCTTACGTTGTAAGAGAAAGCCCTTGCTCTTAGGAAATAAACCCTGAAGGCGTATGTCTGCAACTTACTCTGAAATATTGTAGTTTGGGAAGAAATGGTACACATACCACACACAAACACACACGTATACAGAGAGAAAGAAATAAAGCAAAAGGGAAAAAATGTAAACAGTTGATAAATCTGAGTAAAATTTCTATCAAGTGTCTTTGTACGATCCTTGCAACTATTTTTGTAAATTTGAAATTATATCAAAATTTAAAGTTACAAAAAAATTAGCCATGAATTAGAAGTGATTCTCAATAAAGAGCTGGATTTCACTTAGCACATTACCTATTTTGGTACTGTTTGAATTTTCATGAACATATGTGATGTCTGTAATCAGAAAGAATAAAACAAAAATTATAGAAATCAAAAAGGGGGGAAAAAGGCCATCCCAGACTCAACCTAACATTTGACGCTTGCTAATGGGGCCTAAGCACCCATTTTGCAGAAGAGAAAACCGAGGCCCAGCCAGGAACCATGGCTTGCACAGTAGCACACAGTGTTATCATCAGAGTCAGAGCTCAACAAGGGCTCCTGCTCCCTGCACAGGTTCCTTCCATTCCAGGATGCTGCGCCCTAAACTGAGGTAGGGGCCTGAGGGCACAAAGGGCCAGGCAGACCTGGGTGGGATTCGGGGATTTGTCCTCTCTGAGAATGCCACATCTGGTCAGGATGCATTCCTCCAACCTTTACCCCCGTAAGATCCCTTTAAGCCAAGGAGAATCATCAAGAATTGCTCCTTACACATTTACTCATTTCATAGATGGGGAAACTGAGACCCAGAGAGGTTTTGGGACTTGCCGGGAACTGCAAGTTTCAGGCCCTGTAGTTGAGGGACAGAATAATTAACCAGGTTTGGCTAAGCCACCTCAAGGTCAAGTTAGAGAGGAACAAAAGAAGGGAGGGGCTTTAGGAATTGGAGGGAAAGGGAAGGGAAGCCTGCAATGTCCGGATTGGGAGATCCGCTGCCCTCACCCCTCTCACTCTCAGTGTGGCTTCAGCTCCCCTGAGCCTGAAAGAACAAAGTGTATGGCAAGTGCACCATGTCCTACAACTTCAAGAGGCATCACTCACTCACACACAGCCTAGGATTGCATGGGGTTGTGCAGTAGGCAACCTGCACAGCTGTACATGTCAGCCCTGAGAGAGTCATTTGTTGTTGTTTTTGTTATTGTGTGGCTGGGAGGTGTTTGGGGAGGGGACAGGAGTGACTAACACTGTGGCCTAGCTTAATCAGTGACTGATTCCATCCATTCAGTCAACCACTATTTATTGCTACAGATTATATGCCAGGCACCAAGCTAGGGGCTGGGACTTTCCAGGCTTGAAATAGATGTACCCTCTAGGGAAGGACTGGGGGCAGGGGCAGGGATGGAGAGGCAGCCCTCCCAGGACAAAAACCCACAAACCTTCCCCCATCTCTCTTTCCACTCTGCCCAGCCTTCTTCATTCTTCAGGCCCTCCTGAAGGAAGCCTCCAGGCCTCTCCCCTCCCTTCCTCCCACAGTTGAATAGACTGTTGGACTTCCTGCCTTTTCTGAGGGTCTCCTCCACCGGGTGGCAGGAGGCCCTTGGGCAACAGGCTGCAGTGCAATTCCTTCCTCCACGTGGCACCTAAAATTCATTCATCCATCCATCCGTTCATTT